GTTAGTTGATGATGCATGGAGGGGATTGTAACCATGGTAATAAAATGATATACAATAGGATGAATGTAAAACTAATATTCTCCCATGTAAACGATCACATAATTCACAATAAAACACTAAAAAAAAAAAAGAGGAGTCCTGGTGTGGCCCTGTGGGTTAATGCACCAGACTGCAAAATCATTTGAACTGCAAGGTCGGCGGTTCAAGCTGCTACTCAGAAACCTTATATAGGGTTGCTATGAGTCAGAACTGACTCAACAGCACTTAACAACAATCTCAAAAGAGATTGACTCAAGACACACCCTACACTAATCCTACCTCTTTAATATAACAAAGACAACCCACACCCAAATGTGTTTACGGCCACAGGCAGAAACCAAAAAATCCACTGCCATTGAGTTGACCTCAACTCAGAGCAACCCTGTATAGGGTTTCTGAGGCTGTACATCTTTTTGTTGTTGGTATTAAGTGTTGTTGAGTTGAGAAATCCTATCTAGGATTTCTGAGGAGCGACTGGTGGTTTTGAATCACTGGCCGTGTGGTTCAAACTGACCTTGAAGTCCAGTGCTACACCAGGACTCAGGAGTAGAAAGCTTCATCTTTCTCCCTCAGAGCAGCTGGTAGGTTTGAACCACCAACTATGTGGTTAGCAACCCAGTGCTTATTCCACCGTATTACCAGGGTTCCAACCATAGGCATATTGTTGTTAAGTGCCATCAAGTTGGTTCCTACTCATAGTGACCCTGGATAGGGTTTCTGAGGAGTGGCTGGTGAGCTTGAACCACTGATCTTGGAGTTTACACTGACCTTACAGTCCAGTACATTAACCTGCAGTGCCACACCAGGACTCCAACACAGGCATAGAGGTTAAGATTTACAGCAAGTATTTCTGGGAAATACAATTCAATCCAGGATTGGGGCTGGGTGGGGGTGGGGGGAAACAGTGGGCAGTACTGGCAGCAACAGCCTCTATTCTTTATCTACAAGTTCTACCAAACCACAAGGGCAGCAGTTCAAACTCACCAGCCGCTCCTTGGAAACACTATACAGGGTCACTATGAGTTGGAACCAACTTGATGGCACAAAACACCAACCTTATGTGTCAAAGGAGTTCTGGTATGATGCCATAGGATAAGCACTCAACCTCAAAGTCAGCTTGAACCACAAGGTCAATGGTTCAAACTCACCGTCTGCTCCTCGGAAACTTTATACAGGGTCGCTATGAGTCAGAACTGACTTGACAGCACTTAACAACAAGTATGACTGCAAGGTCAGCAGTTCAAACACACCAGGGCTCTGTGGGAGAAAGATGAAGCTGTCTGTTCCCATAAAGAGTTATAGTCTTTGAAACCCTAAGGAGCAGGTCCACTCTGACTTGTAGGGTCGCAATGAGTCAGAATTGACTGGGTGGCAGTAGGATTTTGGTGTATGGATTATGGGTTAACACTGTAGCCAAGGACCTAAGGACAAAATTGGGGACTGTCCCCCAAAGAGGCCATGTGGATAGAAAAGATACAGACATCTCTCCTCATTGATTCCACCATCTTTCTGGCCTTTTCACCTGATTGCATGGGGTTCTGAATAATTTTCTCCTCCCTGTTCAACTCTTCCTAGCCAAAACCAGTATTGTTGCGGTACTCAGGGATTGGCTGGACGGCACTGGTCCCCTAAGCCCTCCACAGTTGTCAGGCAGAGGAAAGACCAAAGTGTGTAACCTGGGACCACAAATGTGATGTCATTAAATTCTGTGCAGACCTAAGCCAGCCCTATGAGTGTGCGAGCAGCACCCTCTGCTGGTGCCTTGGTGCTAAAACTCCAGTGGTAGAAAACAGACCTTAGGGATCACATGATAAGGTAGAGTCAAGGAAACGGAGGCTGGTGACTGACCTTGCTCTTCTCATTTAATAATTTTTATATATTTTTTATTCTTACTTACTTTTCAATATATTCCTTGTCTAAAACTTAGAAAATAAAGTCACACACAAGAATGCACATACAGAAAGTACATTTCATGTTAACAGTGAAGTGCCACTATTAGTTTTTTCTAAGCACATATATTGAGTATGTGCTGTACTGGTTAATAACATTTGTATCCCAACTCAGCATCTAAGAGCTTTTTGACCTTGGGCAAGTTATCAAACATCTCCATGTATCAGTTTCCTGGCTTGTAAAATAGGAATTGTTGTAATAATGTCTTACTCAAACAAGGGGCTTCAAAAAGTTTGTGGGAAATTCCATGATCATTTTCATTCCATTTTTCCATGAACTTTTTTGAAGCCTTCTCATAGGGTTGTATGACAACTAAGTGGATTGTAGTTGTTGTTAAGTGCCGTCGAGTCAATTCAGACCCATAGCGACTCTGTACAGGGTTTCCAAGGCTGTAAATCTTTACGGGAGCAGAAAGCAGGAGTGGCAATACTGATCTCTGATAAAATAAACTTTAAGGCAAAACCCAGCATAATAGATAAAGATGAACATTATCTCATGATTAAAGGGACAATTGAACAAAATGACATAATGATAATAAATATCTATGCTCCCAGTGGAAGAGCTCCAAAATATATAAAGCAAACTCTAATAGATTTGCATAAAGAAGTAGACAAATTTACAATAATAGTGGGTGATTTTAATACACCACTTTTGAAAATGGATAGAACAAACAGAAAGACACAGAGGAACTAAACAACACAATCAGCCAACTGGACTTCATAGACTTCAGAGCATTCAACCCAATAACAGCTCAATACACATTTTTTTTCCAGTGCACATGGAACATTTTCCAGAATAGACCATGTGTTAGGCTACGAAACAAGCCTCCATAATTTCACAAACAACAAAATACTACAAAGCATCTTCTTATACCACAATGCTATCAAATAGAAATCAACAATAGGAAGACCAAGGACATAAAGTCAAATACATGGAAACTGAATAACACCTTGTTTCAAAGCTACTGGGTAGTAGAAGAAATTAAACATGAACTCACAAAGTTCCTTGAGAAGAAATGAGAACGAAAACACAACATACCATAATCTTTGGGACATGGCAAAAGCAGTGCTGAGAGGACAGTTTATTGCAATAAATGCACATGTCCAAAAAGAAGAAAGAACCAAAATTAGTACATTAACACAACATCTCCAACAACTGAAAAAAGACCAGCAAAGGAAACCTACAGTGAACAGAAGAAAGGAAATAATAAAGATTAGAGTAGAAGCTGGGAATGATCCTAAACTTACAGCCAGCAAGAAAATGAGACCTAGGTCCTACAACTGCAAGGCGCAGAATTCTACCACCAATCATGACGAGCAATAAAAGAATTCTACCTCCAGTGTCTCTCAAAGGAATGCAGACTGCCAACTTGATTTTAGACCCATACTGAGCTTCTAACCTGCAGAACTGTAAGATAATACATGTATGTTGTTTTAAGCCACTAAATTTGTACTCATTTGTTATTGCAGCCATAGAAAACTAATGTAGGTTTTGACACCAGAAATGGATTGTTTCTGTAAAATACCTTGTAATGTGCAAATAGCTTTGGAATCAGAATGAGGTTTTTTTATAAGCATGATTTTTGAAAAAATGTCTAGATTGCTTTGAATAGGATGTTAATAGAATGATGGATATCATGCCAATAAGGACTCAGAAGGAAATGACAAAGGTCAGCAGTTCAAAGTTGCCAGCCGCTCCTTGGAAACCCTATACAGGGTTGTTACGAGTCTGAAATGACTCAAAGGCACTTAATAACAACAGTAGAACCTGCAAAGGAGTTCTGTGCTCCCCAAATGTAAGAGCAAAACAGCCATTTTCTCTCACAAAAGGGAGGAGGAAGAATGGAAACAATGTAAAGAAAAAGCAGTCACTGACCCCAAGTCATTTTGAAATCCAGTCAGGCAAGCACCGTTAGGTTTCAATCCTCTGTGGGTCGTGGCCCCGCCCTCTGAGCTTGTGTCGCTGCCCTCAGAGTTATCCTTCCTTTTTCATGAAAAGTAGCACGCATTGGCAACTGAGTGTTTCAGCAGCCTGTTTCCTGCTTCTAAAATGTTGGCGATCTGATAGTCTGCTCCATGAGGGTTCTAATGGCTGATTTTTTATAAAGCAGATGCCAGTTCTACTTTGCCCACATGGGTTACCATGGTTGGGGTCAACTTGATAGCAACTGTTTTCTTCTTTTCTTTTTTAATATGCTTTCATGGGATGGTTTACCTCACACTTAAGGATCAATAACAATAATAATAAAGAAATCAATCACCTTATTTATTCCCAGTGTGCTGGAAATATCTACTTCCTACTTCATGCCCTCCCCTCCAGGTTGCTGCACCCCCACCCTCTCCTCTCTCTATGGAAGTGTCTTTGGTGTCTGAAAATCGCTAAATGTCATTAGTATCATCTAGTGATAAGGCGAGAAAGGAGGAGAAAGAGAAAAAGGAAGACAAGGAGAAGGAAAAATGTCTCAAACAAGAGGAGTTAAGTATTGAGCAAAGTTGCCACCAAGACAGCATTTAGTGGTCACAGCCCAGACATGGGGCTGTGTCCTGACCCCTCCCCATGGGGTGTCCACAACACGGGGTGTCTCAGTGCAACTCGGTCAGGCCCTGACATCAGTCCTGAAGAGGCAGTGCCTAGGGCTGAAAAATAGCAGTCAGTCCCAGACCAGAATCTTGTGAGCATCCTGTTCTATGGGAACAGTCCTGCTCCAGCTCTGGGAGCCCAAAAGGGCCTTACAGGTGAAGAGAGTTTTCTGCAGACTCAGGTGAGCAGTCAGTCCTACCCCCAATAAGCACGTGACATCCACAGCACGTTCTGAGTAAGTTGAAGATGTCTCTTGGACTGCACAGTTTAGATTGCTCATACATGGGTTTTGGTGGATAGGCAGGATCCAAGGGCTTGGAAATGAGCCTTTAGATCATGTGTACAAACAAGATAAGTGGAATGGAGAGAGTCCCCAAGGGAGCACTCTAGGACCCCACAATTCAGCCCAGAGAGGAACTGCCTCAGAACCATCTGGACAATATTCAGTATTCAACCAGCTGGTGAGGGCCTGGGAATCAGCATTTTAATGAGCTCCCCCAGATGTCTCTAACGTTCGCTCCACAGCCCTCGGGGACATTACCCTGCTGCGTCTTCATTCCCAGAATCCTGCGGGCATGGAAGTTGGTACAGGTGCATGGGAATGTTTTTCCCATTCTTGCAGTCAACGTGGCTCATGCTGGACTTCCAGGCATTGTTGAACTGGGACATCTCTCCATACAGACCCTCCATGTGTCCCCTGTGACAGGGAGCATCCTGTTATGGGAGACCACCTCTTGAGAGTCAGCCTGAGATTGTGTTGGAGTCTCTAAACGAATCCAAGTTACTGCACTGTTTGTGTGTCTGTATTTTCAGAAGGAAGAAGGAGGCCATAATGGTGGACCCTTCCAGCAACTTGTACTACCACTGGCTCACCATCATCGCCATGCCGATCTTCTACAATTGGTGCATGCTGGTTTGCAGGTATGGGCAGAGCTCCCCCAAGGAGGAGAGGGCACAGGGAGGGAGCTATGGCAGCCATGCTTAGGAGACAGAGGTCTGAGTTTCACTCCCATCACCATATAGGTGTGTACTTCAGGGTCTCCATCTATAAAATAACAAGGTGACCTGGTGTGGTGCTATAGGATGAGCACTGAGCTGCTAACTGCAAAGTCAGCAGTTCAAACTCACCAGGTGCTCTTGGGAAACCCTATACCGGGTCGCTATGAGTTCTGGAACTTCGGGACATTTTTAGGCAAGTTGTGCTGTTGGTAAGTGCCATCGAGTCAACTCTGACTCATAGTAACCCTGTGTAGGGTTTCCAAGGAGTGACTGATGGGTTTGAACCACCACCTTGTGGTTAGTAGTCCAGTGCTTATCCTATAGCTACATAGGTGCAATTTGCTTCTAAGGGAATGGGGTTGCATTTTAGAGGGTGCAGGGGAGGTTTGCTGTTCTCTGAGCAGGCCTGCAGTTGACGGTGGGGGCAGGGGTTGTGCAGAACAAACTATGACCCGAAATAAGCAGGGACTGGAGGTGGGCTTTAGGATGTTTTAGAGGCAGTTTCAAGACCAGATGCAAAAGTAAGCTGATGCTGAATACAGTCATGGGCTTTGGGGTCTTTCTGAGCCAGTTTGCAGGGTGGGTACATCGCTTGGGCCAGAGGTCTTTGGAATGTTCCTGAGCAAGCCTGCAGGACTGGGAGGAAGACTGGGTGCTACTCTTCTGTGAGCAAGCAGAGGACTTTGGGGCATTTCTGAGCAGACTTGCAAGGCAGAGTGCCCTGGAGCCAGGGACTTCTTCTCTGAGGGTAAGCAGAGTCTTCGAAGTGTCTCTAAGCTAGCCTGCA